CATTTAAACTGTTGTAACTCATTATTTGAGTTGCATGTTATACAGAATACAAGAGCAGGAACCACTCAAACCAACAGAGGAGAAACCATGCAAGTGCAACATTGGCCTAACCTGAACCAGCTTTGGAGTTGAGTAACTCCAGGCAATACTCTCCTGCCCTGAATGATCACCAAAAAACAGAACACAAGTTATGGAATAAATGAACTTAGTAGACATCTTATGGACATTTTACAAATGTAGCCCATAACGTAAAGGAATGACGTCTGCATTTATACCAAAAGATAGGGAGTGCGTGGAGTGTGGTGTGGTTAATGAGGATATGTTGAATAGTGTGGAATCTGAGCATGGTTTAAATGTTACAGAATATTGTACTGGTTTGTATTAGAATATTGTACTGGTTTTGTCTGGGATAGAGTTAATTTTCTTCTTTAGAGGCTAGTATGGATTTAGGATTAGTATTATGTTGATAACACACCAATGTTTTTGTTGTTGCTGGTCAGTGCTCCAAGTCAAGGACTTTTCAGCTTCTCATGTTGCCCTGCCAGCAAAGAACCTGGGGCGGGGTGGGGGAGTTGGTGGGAAGGGGGAGGGCACAAGGAGCAGTGGGAGGGGGAGAACCAGGACAGCTAGCCTGATCTAGCCAAAGGGATATCCCATATCATATGATGTGTTGCTGAACAATTAGAATGGAGGGAGTCAGCTGGGGAGGGTCTGTGGTCTGCTTTTGCTGGGGGGCTGACTGGTTATTTGTTGGTGAATAGTGAGCACATTACTTGTTTTATATAATGAGTCTTTTTCTGTCTTATTAAATTGTCCTTATCTCAGTCCACAAGTTTTACTTATTTTTCCTGATTCCCTCCCCCATTCAGCTCCTAAGAGGAATGATCAAAAGACTGTGTGGTGTTTAGCTTCCTGCTAGATTAAACTACTGTTGTAGGCAAGAGAAAATAGCAGTGAGACCTTATGTTCATAAATGTAGTAGAGTAGTGTCCTTTCATATGTGCTGGGATGAAGAGCTTTTATCAGTCAGATTGCACAGGGCCAGGAGATAAGGAGCAGCACAGGGCTACATTCAATGCAGTAGAATAGGCATCAAAGGATTGTGTGTAATAAGAAAATTTTACTGTGATGCTGTGTGCTGATGTGAGCAAGGACTCGATGTTATTGTGGAGTATGAAGTATATTTTTCTGAGTAGCCTGCTGAATGAGACTTTTCCTCTGGTAGCCTAGTGAACTGAGGTACTGAACTGCATTTTGCATGGAAGAAGAAAATGTATATGGGAATGCTGTTATAATGGATAGTGTCAGGGTTCCGGCCCAGTTCAGCCTCGTTCCATGACTAATGCTGAAGATGAGACCTCTAGAGAGCACACACTGCAGAGACTAGCAGAAAAAAGGGGAACAGTCTCATTACTCCCAGTCAGTTTTATCTTTCCCTCTGAACAGAAAATGGAAGTGGAATAATGAAGTCTTCTGGAAGCTGCAGTTCATTCTTTCTCTTCTGAGAGCAGATACTGGGAACTATCGACAAGCCATGGAACTGAGGCATTAACTCTTTAACTTCCAGTGTGCTACATGATGTTACGATGTGGAATATCAATAACAAAAAATCATAAAACCATGACAGATAGGCAGCAGAACCTGCTGAAGAGAAAAGGGCAAGGTTCTTTACTGTTACAGGTTCATACTCAGAGAAATGAGGATAAGGATTCAGAAAGAATTCCACTGTCAGGAAATAAATCAGTCTTTTGTATAACTGGAACCAGCTGTACAGGGAGCAGCTTTTCAGAAAAACACTTAAGTGCCAAGGGGGTTGGAGCTGGAATAGGCTGCAGTGCCTGAGTCAGGACTACTTCTTAGTCTGAATTAGTTATAATGGGACTACTAGGGCTTATTCATTCATCACTGAGAAAGCTGCTTCAGATTGAATACACTTTAAGCATTCTGCAGAAGGCAGATGTCAACAAAGTGGAGTGACAGGAGCAAGTACAAGCTAATACCTTCTCCTTATTAGCCTTGAAGCTTGGAGTACACCACTCCAAGCTAGGAAAGGGAAATCAATGATACTCCTGCTGAGCTGGAGATCACTACAGCTCATCCTTATTGCACTGGGTCTTTTATTGGTGTGACAGTCAACTGTCACAAGACAACAAAAAAACAAGTCTGTGTTCAGCATAAGGCTGTTCCAAACATAAGGCTAAAGTGAGGTGGACAAATGTCTGGCTATATCCTCTGATGACATTTCTAGTTGAAAACCCCAAAGCAGAGTAAAGCATGACAGAACAAAAGACCCCCCCCACCCCTGTCTGTTAACTGAGGTGAAGAGTGTTGCTTATTTCCCCAGCTACTTTGTTCCTGAACCACATCTGCCTGGCCTCTGGGACCAAGCTTGGTGTCCAGGGATCCAGGGTCTCTGCCTAAGCTAGGGGACGGAGCTGCTGCTTTCTCCTTTGCAGGTTCAACTGGTAGCAAAGCTGAGCACATATCCCAGGGAAATGCAGATACACGCAGGGACAAGACAGTGATGCAGCTGGTCACAAAGCCTGCACCAGTCAAGGACTGCCTTTAGCAGAATTCACATAAAATACAGACAGATAGCCAAGACCCTTTCTTCTTCTCTGGCTTCTAAAGATATGTGTTCATTAGTGAAGGCACATATACACACTGAAAAATGGTAGAAGTGATTAAAAAAAAGAATTATCCTTCAGGCACATCTGCCTGGGTCAGCCCCTCTGTCTGTCCAGTACTGGCACCGATTTTCAATCACACACACACAGTTCTCACCAGCAGCTAACATGTAGTCTTTGCAGCATGTGCACACACATGCACACACACGAGAGAGAGACAGAGTACTCATACTATAGAAGGAGTCAGAAAAGATTACATTACAAAAATAAAATAGAACAGACTATGATGATCAGTTGCAGGGCTTGGCCAAACAAGCATACTGATTGGCTGCATTTCACATGCAGCACTGCTTTTCACAGGCTGAGAGCCCTGTGTTTCACAGTCTTATCAGTTAGGATGTTTATGCTTGCTAGACATGGTGCCTGTACCTTATAGCTCACCAGTTAGTGTGACTGGGAGGTTTGTTTTTTGTGACTGTCTTTCACTTTAGAAGTTCTCCATCAGGTGAAAGCATTCCTACATTTATATCTGCTCAGAAATTAGGGTGAATGACCAGACTTGGTTTCCATAACTTCCTCCCTTTATTATCTCTTATTGCCTCAGAAAAAGACTCTTGTCCAGATACACTTAAAAGAACTTTCTTCTACATGCCCTTACACTATCCACCCCTCTGGAACGCATGAAATGCATAGATTAGAACAGGGGAAATCATAGAATGTATCATAGAATCATAGAGTGGCCTGGGTTGAAAAGGACCACAATGATCATCTAGTTTCAATCCCACTGCTGTGGGCAGTGCTGACAACCAGCTGCCCAGAGCCACATCCAGCCTGGCCTTGAATGCCTCCAGGGATGGAGCATCCACAACCTCCTTGGGCAACCTGTTCCATTGTGTCACCACCCTGTGTGTGAAAAACTTCCTCCTAATATCTAACTTAAATCTCCCCTGCCTCAGTTTAAAACTATTCCCCCTTGTCCTATCACTATCCACCCTCATAAGCAGTTGTATCCCCTCCTGTTTATACACTCCCTGCAAGTACTGGAAGCCACAATGAAGTCTCCCCGGAGCCTTCTCTTCTTCAAGCTAAACCCAACCCAAGCCCAGTTTCCTCAACCTTTCATCACAGGAGAGATGCTCCAGCCCTCTGATCATCTTAGTGGCCCTCCTCTGGACCCACTCAAGAGCTCCACATTCTTCCTGTACTGGGGGCCCCAGGCCTGGATGCAGTCCTGCAGATGGGGCCTCAAAAGAGCTGAGTAGAGAGGGACAATCACCTCCCTCTCCCTGCTGGCCAGCCCTTTTTTAATGCAGCCCAGAACATAGTTGGCTTTCCAGGCTGCAGGCACACGCTGTTGGCTCGTGTCCAGTCTCTTGTCCACCAGGACACCCAAGTCCTTCTCTGCAGGGCTGCTCTCAAGTTCTTCCCCCAGTTTGTATAAACACCTGGGATTGCCCCGACCCAAGTGCAGCACCCTGCATTTGGCCTTATTGAACCTCATTGGGTTATCATGGACCCACTTCTCCAGCCTGTCCAGGTCTCTCTGAATGGCATCCCTTCCTTCCAGTGTATTGACTGCACCGCTCAGCTTGCTGTCATCTGCAAACTTGCTGAGGGTGCACTCGATGCCATTGTCTATGTCATTGATGGAGATGTTGAAGAGCACCAGTCCCAAGACTGACCGCCCTCCACCCAGACATAGAACTGTTGATCACAACCCCTTGCATCCAGCCAACCAATTCTTAATCTACTGGAGTCCATGCTTCAAATCTATACCTCTCCAATTTAGAGAGAAGGATGTGGCAAGGGACCATGTCAAAGGCTTTATAGAAGTCCAGGTAGATGACATCTGTCGCCCTTCCTGTATCCACCAATGTCATCACTCCATCATAAATGGCCACCAGATCGGTCAGGCAAGATCTGCCCTTGGTGAAGCCATGCTGGCTGTTTTGGGTCACCTCTTCATCTCGCATGTGCTTTAACATGGTAACCAGGAAGATCTGCTCCATGATCTTCCCAGGCACAGAAGTGAGGGTCACTGGCTCCCTAGGTAATCCTTTCTCCCTTTCTTAAAAATGGGAATGTTTCCCTTTTTCCAGTCACTGAGGATTTCACCTGGTGAAATCCATCTGAACCAGAGAGAAAGTTTCTTCTCAAAGGTATTAAATCCCTGAGATACCTTGGATGACAATGCAGTTATTTCCTACTGCTATTAATTTAGGAACTGCTCTGATCCAGACATCTGAGCAATCTGCAGCAGTTTGGGACAAGCCTGGCTGTAAGAAGAGAAGATATTGGTGACTTTGGAGATTGATTGATGTCTGAAAAAGTCTCACACACAAGAAAAAAAGTCCAAGACACAGTGGTGTAAGATTCAGGTTTATTTGCATTGCACCAGGGAAAGGACATAGGATCTCTGCATTTCTAAGCGAAATTCTTCATCATCAGGGTAGATTTAGGATTATAGATTGAAATCAGATGGAAAATATTCAGGAGTCCTGTAATTCAAGGAAGAGGATTAAAAAAATCAGTGATGTTCAAAGATTTTCTTTCTCCCTAACCCTCTCTTTTCTTAGGCTGCAAAGACAGTCAAGGCCAAGGGCTGTTTCCCCTGGGCTGGAAGAATTCTGTCCTTCTACACTCCTCCAAAGCCTGGAAAAAGGGCAATTTCCTTCCAGCTCCCTCTATGATTAAGTTCAATTTAATTTTTTTTTTTTTTTTTTTTTTTTTTTTTTTTTTTTTACTTACATAGACGACTGGTGTCTCGAAGCTGTTCTGTAAGGGAGAAAGAGTTGTGTCAGCGCTGAAAATACTGTGTGCAGCTAGGACTCTTATTTAAATTGGGTAGTCCAGCTGCAGCATGATGACTCCTTCATTCCACAAAATCATAAATGAGCTCAGGAAGATGATCCCCTTTGCAAAGCTTTGGAGTACCTTTCAGTCATGATGCATTACAGTATGGCTTGGATGCATTAAGGCAAACTGATGGGGCCAGCCAATAGATTTTTACTTTTTTTTCTGCACTGAAGAGTGCAGACAACTGATCCTGGGAAAATCCAAGACTAAATGGTAGATAAGAACTCATCAAACTAAAAAATCTAGCAGAGACCATGGAAATAATGGACATATTATACTAGTTGATACTGTTCCCTGCTTCAAACTCCATTTTTTTCCTTTCAAGGACATACCATCTTGTTTAACAATGATAGCAGTTTCCTGCAATCTTAAATAAAAGAAATTGGACATACTCACGCCATTATGACTGAAGTTCTGTCCAGCCAACTTGATTCCCATCAAAGCTGATAGGGTTCTGCAAGAAAAACAGAGCTGTAGTGGGGCTGCCCGGGAGCTCCTGGTGCTCTTTATCCCATGTAGTGCAAAGCAGAGACAACCCAGGAGCTGTTTGTGTGGGGTGGTAAGAAGGACTTTTTGAGTGTGGAAATACTCACCCCTAGGGCACCCTGGGGATTCTGAGAAGTTGAGAGAACAGAGTGTTATGAGAATCCTACTTTGCTACCACCATGTCTACCCCCTTTGTACATTCCCTACCCCTCCCACATTGTCCAGAACCCTGGGACTGGGGCAGAGAAAGGAGTTCAGGTTATGAGCAGAGTTACGTCTGTGTGGAGGCACTTAGGGGAAGAAGGATTGTACACCCTGTGGTCAAGAGTTGGACCAAGACAGAAGATGTTGCCAAAGTCCACTCAGTTCTTTCCCAAACCGAGTCCAGACTGAGGCAGCAGACAGATCTTGGGCCAGGGCTGACTGCTCAGGGTTGGGTTGCTCATGGTTTTCTTCCCCCATATCCGACCTTAAGAGCACAGGGAAAGGGCAACTGTCTTTTAGTTCCTTTTGCAATGGAAGTTGTGATCTATTGCAATACTCACATAGACGACAGTGGGTTCGAAGCCAACCTACAGTAGAGAAGGCGAAGAGAGAGAAAGAAAGAGATATCTGTGAGTGCTAGAGATTTTGTAAGGGCAGAAGAGGTGGGAAAGGTTCAACTGAAAGTACAGGCTAGTTCTAAAGTGAGTAACTAGTCAGGCCCAAGTCCTGGTGATCATGGCCCTTTCCAGATATAGAGCATCTACCCTGAGATGGGTAAACTGGGCTTTATGCAACAACTCTCCACTGCAATATGTGGGGTGCAATAGCAAGAGTAGAGCTGTTTTCCTTTCTTATTTGTACTGAGATGGACAAAAAAAGCACAGAACAAGTGTGAACTCCAAGGATAAGGAGATGACACCATAATGGGATGGATGCAGCAGAGGCTGCATCCAAATTCTGATACCTTCAAAACTATATTCCCACCCTCATGTGCCAGTGCTACGTAATATTCCCCATGTACCAATACACAAACCGTGCACCTGAGACATAATAATTTGTGTTCCTCTTTCACTGCAATTCTTCCCATCTCTTCATTCTCCTTTTTCAGTGATCCCAAATTGTTCTGCTTTGGGCTGTTGTACAGCTACGTCCTCATCTTCATGTATTTCTGAGTTTGCAGTATCTCACAGTACTCCTCCTTCCTCTTTCCTCATGTCCCACTGTTTTGGAGTTTGTCCCACATCTCACAACCTCACAATTCCTACTATGCTTTCAATGTTCCAGGCTTTGTCTCAGATAATTGCCTCCTCCATTCTACACTAAGACCAACTTCCAAGAATCTTCCAGGACCTCCAGTATCAGGCATATTTTCCTGAAGCCTCCCTGACGCAGCCACTGCATGAATTTTGTACAAATAAGTACACTTCAGTTCTCTCAGCTCCTATCACCTCCCAGTTTCCTGTATCCTCAGAACAAGCAAAGTGAAGGGGCAGAAGTCAACGCTCCTCTCCTACACTAAAAGCAGACTGCAGATAGCACTGAGGAAAACTTCCTGGAAGGATTCTGTAAAGGGCTTTATGGCAACTAGAACAAATTGGAATGGCTTGGAAATCCAACTGTGAAGAAAGAACTACTCTTTTCTTGAGGAGTAGCATAGTACGGGGGGCACCAGTGCAAGAGGAAGAAATGAATCTACGTTTAGTGAGACTTTTGACAATGACAAATGTCCAAGAAGTTAAGGGCCAATCTTTACTCCGCACAGAGAAGAGAATGGACTTCTTTCCCCAGACTCATCCTCAATTACCCCAGAGAGTGCCTCAGTTCTTACCCCAATGTTTTTGAAGCGCTGACCACCAACCCCGTCAAAGCCGCCACCGTTCTGCAAGAAAAACACAGCTTTAGTGGTGCCTTATCAGGATCTCCTGGTGCTCTTTATCCCATATAGGGCAAAGCAGAGACAACCCAAGAGATGTTTATATGGGGGGGTAAGGAGAGAAGGGCTGCTTGGGTGTGGGAATACTCACTGTTAGGGTACCCTGAGGATCCTGAGAAGTTGAGAGAACAGGGTGTTATGAGAATTCTACTTTGCTACCACCTTTGTTCATTTTCTACCCCTCCCAGCTTGTCCAGAACCCTGGGACTGGGGCAAAGGAAGGATCTCAGGCCATGTGGGGAGTTACATCTGGGTGGAGACACTTAGGGGAAGAAGAGGTGTAGACCCTTCCCCCATATCTAAACTTGGGAGCACAGGAAAAGTTCAACTGCCTGTTAGTTACAGTTGCAATGGAAGTTGTGGTCTGTTTCAATACTCACATAGATGACAGGGGGTTGGAAGCCATTCTAGAATGAAGCAGAGAAAATGGAGAGAGAGAAAGAGAGAGAGAGGAGAGAGATTTGTGAATGCTTATGCATTTTTCTGAGCATCACCTAGGGCCATGATGTTGGGTACTTCTGGAACCCATCTTCTTCCCAAGTTTCTCTGGCTTTATCACCCTGGCTTTCAGAGACAGGTTCTGCCCCCTCCTGTGTGGTTTGACTCACACCCCTGCACACTCACCCCATTGTTGAAGCCGCCATCTCCAACTTGGTTCCAGTCCTGAAAGGAATACACACAGTCTATAGCTGTAGTCCTGTCATGACTAGAACCAGGAACAGTCAGGACCAGATGGATAGCATGAGGAATAAGGTCCCCTGAGTGCTCCGAGTTCTAAGACCTACTACAGTTGTATGCTGGATGTTCTTAGTCCCTTGACCACCTCCTCCCCATCATGGTCATTTTGCAATCCTACTAACAGTTTCCATATACCCTGAATTACCCAGCCCCTCCCATTTTTCCTACCAGGGGAACTGCCTTCGTGCCTCCGAGCATTAGGAGACAAACAGCCAGGACCGCAACACAGATCTGTCCCTTCATGGCTTCTTCCTTCCAACAGAGTACTCAGTACTTCAGGCTGGGGCAATGCACAATGCTGAGCCTGGGGCTAGATTTATAGGACACAGCCAGATCTTGCCACATCAACCTTGACTGAGCCAGCCCTGATATCCTGACCAAGCCCATGTTTTTCCTGCTATCACGTGCCCCTACCTTGGCTTATCACTACCTCCTAATCTCCCTTCGACCACTCCTTTTTGTTGGACAATACCTTTGTTTTGATCTTTCAAGGGGGATGTCAGCCGTTTCACACACAAACTCCATCTTAGGTCTACCTTTGATATTAGATCAGTATGTTTGAGCTCTGGGATAGCGCAGTTTGGAAATTTTCCACAGATGAGGAAACGTCCCAATTCCTGGCCCCAACTCCTGTCCCACAACTGCCTGATTCCAGTGACAAATGATTTGTTCCTCTGAGTGGTGATATCTTGTCACTCCGTGGGATATCCACAGCCTTCCTGTAATGCTGTGTTCTGACTGTTCGGTTTTGGTAAGTCTCCCAAACTCAAAATGAACCTACATATTCAGATTTAGCTCTGTCCTCTTCCATGTCTGGGAGATGTCTCCTTTGTGCCACGTTTCCTAAGCTAAAAAGCTTTGCTTTAAGAGGAGGCCAGAGAATGACTTTCGAACAACCTTGGTTGTTTTGGCAAAGACCGTTACCAGCTCTGACTTTCATCAATTTTCAGACATAATGAACCTGGCAGTGGTTTTGGCAATGACTTTGAACATGGCCTCCTCCTGGCCAGGACTGGCAAATAGGACAAAAGTATCTCCTATAAATATTTGCCAGTGTTATCAAACAAGGTCCCTATTCAGAGAGAAAGCTGCACCCAGAATGGCCCAGGGGCCTCATGGTAATTTCATAGTTAATAGGAGTGTTTCTGCAGTGGGCACCCTGGAGTTGGAGGTTTGAAACTTTCCATCCCCTCATTGCAATAGACTGAGAAAAGCTGAGACCAGTGTTCCAGGAGGCAGCTCAGGAGAAGACTGAGGCTTGTTGGGACAACACACTACCTCCAGTCAGAATGGTGCCTTTTGTCAATAAACTACCATCCCTGGGACTCTGATAGTCAGAACAGAGCTGTCACAGCCAAGAAGGGGATGGTCTCCCACGCTGCTTCACACTAGGAGCTTCAGAGATCATGGAGATGGTGTGAGCTGGAACACAGGGCAGGTGCAGAGAGGTTGAGGGTTCTGGGTTTGTGCAGCCAGGAAGCAGTCTTTCCTTCGTCAGACAGAGCTGAGAAGGGGTTAGGCATAGACTTGGAGATATGTAACAAAGAACTGACAGTTGATAGGCATAAGCTGGATTGGGAGTTATCCTACTAAGGCAGAGAGACAACTCATTTGCCAGAGATGTGAGGCAGCCCTGGGCAGGGTAAGTGAGAGATTGGTTTGTACCTGGGAACATTTTTCAAACTGCCCTCACCCTGTCTGTGTGAGATCTGTCCTGGTGCTGCTTGAATTCCAGCAAGTTCAGTTCCATGACTACTTCTCTGGGGAGCCTGTTCCAGGGCCTGACTATCCTTTGGTGAAGAATGTCTTCTTAACAGCCAACTTGACCCTCCCCTGACACAGCTCCATGCTGTTCCCTCAAGTGCTTTCACTGCAACCAGAGAGAGGAGATCACATTGCCCTTGTGAGAAAGCCATTCGCCACAATGAGGCCTCCCCTCTGTGTTCTTTCTCTGGGTTAAACAAACCAAAGGACTTCAGCCACTCTCAATATATCTTCCCTATTTCTGTAGCCCTCCTTTGGACACTGCTTAATAGTTTTATGTCCTGTTTGTACTGTGGCACCCAATCTGCACACAGATGAGGTTGCACAAGTGTGGAGTGTACAGCAGGACAATCACTTCCCTTGATGAGCTAGCAATGCCATACTCTGGGATATGGTTGGATTGGGAGCCAGGATAGCTGTATTCTCACCTCAGCTTGGAGAAGAAAATAGGAAGTCAGACATTCATAGAAGCATGACTTTATCTGCTGGCCAAAACCTACAAGCCCACACAGGTGGAATTCAGATTTGGCCATATCCATACCCACTCTGTCATTCACAAGGGTTCCCATGTTCTTTTACCACTCTGAGAGATGTATTCTTGGATGACTGTAGGAGGAGGATGAAAAAGAGAAAGAACAAATACAGGCCCCAGAGTTTCGCTTCAATGGTTAATGCAGTGCAGGGCTGATGGGAACCAGAACTTTGGACAGATGGCCACACTGGATCCCTCCTCTACACCAACAGGGAGCAGTTTGACCCTTGTCTAATGTGCTGGGCATTTGACATAGGCTCAGAGTGTATCATATATGTGAGCAGAGAGGTTTGCGCCTGGAGAGGGAGGAGGGATAGGGGTTGTGTTATTATGTGTGTAAGAAATTATGTGCTTGTTTATATGTAGACAGTGTAGTATGCACAACAGGTGTGTAGGTGTGCAATCATTTATGTGTTACCTCAAAAGAATGTGCATGCATAGAAAGTATGTTTAATGTTTATTGTGTGTATACATGTGATGAGTGTTTATGCAGTGGAGAAAATATGCATGAGTATGTGTCTATTCACCATGATGAGTAAGCAATGGTGTGTGTGTGATATGATGTGTGTGCATACATAGACTACACATATGTGTGCATGTGTGTGTGCACATACTCATGCGTGTCCATTTGACCAAACATCCGAGAGTAATAACAGCACTGCTCACAGAGAGCAGCTCCCAGAAGCAGCCAATAGGCACAGAAGTTTGGGCAACAGTCTTCGTCTCTCCTTCTGGGTTAAGGTAAAAGAGCCCTGGGGAACATCAGGCAGCCCTCTGATAAACTCGATGGTACTTGCTCTTGTTAGGCAAAAACAAAAGTAATGGAAGCAAGTAGTGTCTGGGCCCAAAGAAGTTGTGGATGCCTCTAGCAAGATCAATGATTTTCTAATGAGTGTGCTTGACCTTGGGTGCTAAGAGAATGATATTCTATGGTATGGAACATACCTTTGGTCAGTTTGGGTCAAACATACTGCTTGTGTTCCCTCCAGCTCCTTTTGCTCTCCAGCCTCCTCAGTAGTAGAGCAGTGTGAGAAGCTGAAAAGTCTTTAGCTTAGCATAAGTACTGCTCTGAAACAACTAAAACATTGGTGCATTATAAATTATTTTTCTACTAAATCCAAAAGAAGGCACCATACCAGCCACTATGGAAAAAATGAATTCTATCTCAGCTGAACCCAGGATAATATTCTGTATTGTCTAACTCTTATTCTATATCATCTACCATAGTGGAAAGTATGTACACTTTCCAGTACGTATACATTAAACATCATCATCCTTCTTATCCTTTGAAAAACAGGTACCATTCCCCTACTCTGTGAACCCTCCCTTTAAATTGTCTCTTTAAAACATCTGTTGAGCTCATTTTAGTACATGACTTTGGGTTCCATCTGTCATAACAGTCCTTCAGGGCTGGAGACTTTGTGTGTGGTGTTAGATTGTTGTATGCTGAAACCAGTTCTGGCTCTCTCACATCTGCAGTCATTGAGTTATATCACCACTGCCCATTTCTTGGTTCCATCAAAATTCATTCTTCATCAGTCTTGGTGACTCTTAATGGTACTACTGGTGATATGACATATATCAATCATAGTATCAATGACATACATTATTATATAGCAATTAACATAATAAAGACAAATTATTGGCAATTCTCACCCAATATCAAATTCCCTTGAGATACATACTGGACTTCCTCATTCCAAATGCACACAGGTTCCTGATCAAAACCAGTCTCACAAATGGCTTTGTTTTTACTCAAGGCAGGAGTAAGTCTGACTGTCTTGCCCAGAATAGTTTTTAGGTGCACTACAGAGACTTTATTCCCTTCTACAGTATGTAAGAATATTGACTGAGCAGAGCCAGCTCGATTGACAGATCTTCTTGTGTCGAGTAACCACCTGGCTTTTGGTAGACATGTA